TCTGGTTTTCTGGGTCGGGTTTGTTTGGGTTTCGGGTCGGGTTTATCCACTTGTATATATTCCCCTCTACCCGAAAACACCTCTTTTGATCAGAAAACCCTAGAGAAACCCTAGCCTCTTCTCCCCCTCTAAACCCTAGCTCGTTTTTGGGATTTCTTGAGCGCTTTTTGGGGAATTTTCAGCGGCTTTTCGTGGATTGCAGCGAAGGGGATTGTTCATCATCACTTTTGAGGCGAGTAACATCTCGCCCAAGAAAATAAATATTTCTATTCAAAAATTAAAAGAAAGAAAATAAATGTTTCTCCCGAAAGATTATAATCTTAATCATGTGAGTCCAAATCCTATTGTCATGTCATGATTTAGAATCGTCTAGAAATAAGAATGGAAAAAAAAGAAAAGAAAAGAAAATATCTTTTGGAAATTACCATTTACCATTCAAATTATATTATAATAGAAAGGAGGAAAATATTCACAATTCATTAATTTTTTGCTATCCTCACTATGTTGATTATGGCTAAATACCCATATTGGTATTTTATTTCAACCCCATTTGCCAAGAAGGTATTTTAATTAGGAAATTCGGCGTTAAGGCATTTTAATTAAATAAAATTACCAATTAGGTCCTTTTTCTCGTCGGCGACCACTTTTCCGGCGAGAACTCGTCACGTGCGTTGCACGCGGTGGCTTAATCTTTGTTTAAGCTGCTGATGTGGCACTATTTTCTGACCAACGCGGATCTGAGCTGGGACTCGGGGTGAACTCGGCGACGACGGGGAGTTCTTTAGGGTGGGCTGAGCTTGAAAGGAAAGAGGGGTAGCAGAGCTTGGAGCGGCGGCGTAGCGTCTGTGGTCTCCGACGGGGAAGAGAGGACGGCGACGACTGGCGGTGGTAGGAGGTGGTCGAGTCTCAAGTTGAGGGCGAAGGGAAGCTCGGAGTTGGGCTGGTCGGCGGGAACTTGAGCAGCAACAAGTTCGGCGTGGGGAAGCTCGACAAAGAGAGGAAGAGGGAGGGTCTGGGGGATGAAGGCGGGGAGTGGAGGGAAGAGGAGGAGATGGAGGTGTTGAAGTCGGGCTCGCCGTGGACAGAAGGGGGGGCTGGACTGCAAGCATGGAAGGGGGATGGGGTGGAGGCGGTATCGGCGTTCAGGGGTTAATTCCCCGCCCTGGACTGCAAGCATGGAAGGGGGATGGGGTGGAGGCGGTATCGGCGTTCAGGGGTTAATTCCCCGCCACGTCAGAAAACAGTGCCACATCAGCAGCTTAAACAAAGATTAATCCATTGCATGCAACGCACGTGACGAGTTCTCGCCGGAAAAGTGGTCGCCGATGAGAAAAAGGACCTAATTGGTAATTTTATTTAATTAAAATGCCTTAACGCCGAATTTCCTAATTAAAATACCTTCTTGGCAAATGGGGTTGAAATAAAATACCAATATGGGTATTTAGCCGAGTTAAATGTTAGATTTAACCTACAAGAAAATCGTTTCTCATGATAAATATGTTTTTCTCACTGTATCATAGTCGAGAATCGATAGCTATAGAAGTGTAGATCAGTAAAATGGAAGTGTGGATCGTGTTGAACAAGTTACAGTTGGGAGAAATGCTTTGTTCAGCCCGTGAGTCGACCCACGGCTCAGCATGAGTCGACTCAACAGGTTGAGTCGACCCATGACTGTCATGAGTCGACTCACGAAGTCTAGTTGTGTTGTCTTTTTGTTTCTGCTGAGTCGACTCGTCAGTATACGAGTCGACCCATAAGTCATGAGTCGACCCATGACTGTCATGAGTCGACTCACGAAGTCTAGTTGTGTTGTCTTTTTGTTTCTGCTGAGTCGACTCGTCAGTATACGAGTCGACCCATAAGTCATGAGTCGACCGACTCATGAAGTCCTTTCCTGCTATTATTTGTGTTCTGTTGAGTCGACTCATTTTGAGCACGAGTCGACTCATCGCAGTATTTTTCTTTCTGTTTCGTTCGTGCTTCTGTTTAAGTCATCTGCTATATATATGTATGTATACAGTGTTTACATATTTCAAGGGTACTATTTACCACGTTTGGACTTGAGGAGTGCCTCGTTTATTGAGTATTTATTTGCAGTGAATATGGTTCCACCTATATATGTGAGATGACCTTTCGAACACAAGTTTAAGTCAGTATAGTAGGGTGTGTACGGGAATAAGACATGTACACTTTCTTATACGCAGTCCTCGTGTTGGACTATAATCCATTAAAGTCCTCGTGTTGGACTATAATCCATTAAAGTCCTCGTGTTGGACTATAATCCATTAGAGTCCTCGTGTTGGACTATAATCCATTTCAAACATGT